AGGTAAGGCAAAAATCACCTCTCATACTTTCCTCCTGCGTGCATTTAGATGCTTGGCTTAACTTGCCATTATACTAGCTGCCCACCACAAAGTGATTGCTTATTTCTGGTTACATTGTTTAGGTCTGCTGAGGTTCACCTGTGCCTTGAATAGTCTCTTTCTTTCTACCACTTCTTTCCTCATGCACTAAGCCTTTCATCTTTAACAGCTTAGAGAGGTATCTGACTGGCTTTTCATTTCTGCAGATCTGTGTCTAAATGCAGAACTGTAGCAGGAAGAGGATAACATGAGTATTGTTCAACCCTTTCTCTGTGCAATGCTCAGTGAATTCTTGTTCAATGCACTAATTCCCATCACAGTATAATGAATTTGGTATTTGCTGTGAAGGAAAAAAAAGCAGCAGCAAAATTACCCTCATATCACACTGTGAAAGCAAATACATTGCAAAATATATTTGATAAGCAGTAATGTTTTAATTTTAATTCATGAAGCTGGAACAATATTTTATGAAAAACTTCTGTATATAAATTCTGTTCTTGAACAGTAGATAACTAGAAGTTCATGTTGACAGTAAAGAAAAAATAAGATATGACTTGCTCATCCCACTATTGAAAGGCAAACATTTCCCTGCAACTACTGCCATAAATCCTTGAAAATGCATGAAGTGTTCTGACATCAATAAGCAGTTTTCCTGGAAAATATCACAGATCTAGCAAAGTCAGCTTCTCTAACACTGGAACTTTGTTCCCAAGCAATGCACAAGAAGTACAAGCCTGGAAGAGTTACCAAAACCAGTGTTTCCATTTCCAAATACCATAAGCTGCTTGTATCAAGGCGTCTGTTACCTAGTATTGATCCTGGTATAAATAGCCGGAACAGATAATCACCATGTTTACTTTTCAAATACTTTGCAGCAGTACTAATCTTCAGCTCCAAGCATCACCATGGTTCAACATTAATTAGCAATAGAACTTCATTTTTAGAAAAGCAGATTGCAAATATAATGATTAAAATGAAATCACAAGTCATTGTACTGAATTTTACATACTTCTATTCAATCATAAAATTCAATAGATTCCTCCTATAGTCTGAGTTGCTTGATTGAAACTGTGACTGCAATTTCAACTACAATTTCAGTAGTTCAGATTATCTTACTGTATCAAATGGCAAGATAAGATATTCTCATAATATTAATTTATGAGTGTACTCTTCGATTCATCCCTCTAAGTTTGGGGCATGTATTTTGGAAGAATTGTAATAGAAATAAATAATAATATACTCATTATAAGTAATATTAAAGTTGAACTGGTCTCATAAAGCAGAATATCCTGAAGTTTTTTTTAATCAGTCCTCCAAAGTAACAGGACTACCTGGAGAATCACTTTAAATTTTAAAAGTCTTTGTGCAATAGTCCTTCTAGGATCAATGTTTTTAAATTCTGATACTGTCAGAAATCTAAAGCTTACCTACATTGTGCTTGTGATGCAAGAAAACTTGATGGATTGAATCACACTTCCCTCTAGCACTCCACAGAGATTCAGTATTGTGTATTTTACTTTCTGGCTTAGCCTCCTCTCTCTTCTAAGCCTCGTTAGTTCCAAGTAACTTCATTTTATAAACACACAAAGGCAAATAAATAAATAAATAAATAAATAAATAAATAAATAAATAAATAAATAAATGGAAGAGGAAAGGGAAAGTACAGCATCTTGGACCCTCCCTGCAGCAAAACTATCATCAGTTCAGCAATGATGGATGAATAGCAGCTTGGCTTGGTATTGCCACAGACCACCCACTGGATGGTTCTCTGACAACATTCCCTCAGAACAGCTCAGGTTTACCTGCCAACCCACCATCCCCAAGCTATCCCAGTGTGATGTTGAACTGAATTTGGGCCAATGTATTCTCAGAGTGCTAAGACCAAGCAGAAAAATATGTGCCAGAAGTTCATGCAAATGTCACCTGTCACAAACAAAAGTAGGAGACTAAGAAACAGAAATATCACATATAGAATAGGAACACTGAGACAGAATACAAGTCAAAGTTTTTTTCCATGAAACATTACTGCATTCTTCTTAGAATACGCATGTCAATTCAGAACAGGAAGCTTCCAGCTGAGCACAAGGCTCTCAGCACCCATAAGTCAGATTGCATAGCAGATGTTAAATGCAAAATCCATTAAGACCAATTAGATTCTGCAGAAGAAAAAGACTACATAGTAATAGCATGCACAGACAATGCTGCACTACACAATCATATCAAGAGATACAGTGAAACACAAAAAAAAGACAAAAGCTTAAAAATGCAAATTAGTCTTTCCTCACAAAAAGACCTGCCAACAGAAGGCCTGCTGAGCTGCCTGCAGCCATGTAAGGCAAGGTCCCCTGCTTCTGGCCTCCTTTTCCACCTAGGTGGAACTTCTGTGAAGGCTATCACCTAGTGCACACCAAGTAGCAATTAATTAATCAGTGGTCCTGTACTGCAGCCCAAAACTGTAATGAAGCAAAAGAACCTGGGCCCCTTTCCCAAACTGCATACACACTTCATGTTGTATTAAAAGAAGTAAATCACTCTTCTGTTCACTAAGGTTAGAGCTTCCGTAGTTTAGAGAACATAGGTAGCCATCAGGCTCTGATTTTTATTTTTTGAAATGAATTATGTAGCCTGAGAAAGACTGTTTCTGTACTTGTCAGGATGTACTGCCGAAATCTGAAGCATTATCTTAAACAAGTCCCCGTTCTTGAATTGGAATTAGGCTGCAACAACTTAATCCATTCATGGATACTAAGCAATCTACAAATTTAAGTAAAACATGTATAGTAAAGATAAGTTTAATCAGTCACAACATTTAGGAAAATAATTTCTATTTTTTAAAGAAGTGAGACAGCCTTTTCAACTCAAAATACCTAATGAAGTTAGAGATATACTAGAAACAGAATTGAAATCTGAATCCTGAAGCAGAGATGAAAGGCCATCTTTGGCCTTCAGATGTTCCTTAGAAGCACTCAAAAATCTATTCACAATCCAAGGAAATGGGTGGAATGCATATATATATATCCTCATGTATTTTTTCCAGACACCTTCAGAGTCATCCACATTTCCTCAGGAGAAACGATCTAAGAGGAAGAGGACTGAGTGGCTGCCACAGAGTCACAACTAACAAAGTTGCTGGTTGCAGATGCTCATGCTGTGTATGAAGCTCTGGTTTTGTGAGTAAGTACAGGAATAGAGTCCTCACAAATGCTCTTGGAAAGACTACAGCCAGTAACCCTGACCAGTCTTCTCATGCCAGCATGGAGCAGGCTCACGTGGTTTTCTACCCATTTGACAGACTTCTGAATTGGGCAAAGCTACAACACAGACTCGATACACCTAGGGATTTCATAATAAAGCATTATTTCTATCAGAGGGTTCCCATCAAACGGGCACTTAAATAGAAAAAAGTAAAACATGTTAAAATTACTTAAAAGGGTTTCTAAATGCATAACTAGGCAATCAAAATGACGTTCACTTTCTTTTCAGCCTGTATTAATTCAGCCAATTTTCGCATCCAGAAGTAGGAAAAACAGTTAATATTAGGCAAAACCAAAAATTTTTTGTTAAGTATCAAATTAAAAAATTAGCTACCTGCTTCACTTTTTATAACACAGTAAGCTGAAAGACTAAAAATCAAAACAAAACAGTGTTGTACAACATCCAATTCATCCCTGGCATTATTCCACATAAATCAGTGGTAATACACTGGGGATTAATTTGGAACACTGATCTGAATTAGAGCACTGCTCTACACAGCAGCCACCTCATAACGCACACACATCATAACACAAAATATTCTAAGCATCACAAATGCCCACAAATAATTATGCACCTAATAGCCTATGTCTGAGCAAACAAGGGAGGCTATCCCATAGTTTTGACAATAACAGCAAGGAACTTCTATTTTTAAGAATTATTGTGTACATCTTTTTCCAGAATGGATATTTAATTATCACATATTTTACACCACTAAGTCCACTCAGAAGAATGCAAAGCTCCTCCAACAACTCAGTTTTTACCTTTCCTAACTAGATATGACCAGCTTGCTAGGTTACATAACGAACCCCCAAAAACTGTTTTAAAGTAGTACTTAAGATTGATTTGAAGTTCTCAAGTTTGTTCAGCAAAAGGTAGTCCCCACCTACGTAACACACATAACACAGCAGTATTAAGTATTTAATGAGTTTCTCCTCTGAATAGAAAACCGTTCACATTCACGGTGACTAGGTCCAGGAGCAAGTGGGTCGCTGCTGCTGGGGCTGAGGGTCACATCCCTACTGCCACAGGGACAGGTGATGCTGAAACAACCGCTCAGGCAGTGGAGCCCACACGAAGGCTCGTGTACCCGGAGAACAGCTTTTTGTTCGCAGGGATTACTCAATTCTCCGAACACACGCGAGGCTTCAGGCTGACCTCTGCCTTTCAAAGGCGAACCTCGGCCGGGGGCCGGTGCTTTCCACCCAGCTGTGCTCCATCAGCCCGAATCCTGCCCTGAGAGACTGACCTAACGCCACCCCACCAGGGGACTTCTCACCTACGAGAGACTCGCAACCGCCGATGCTACGCGGAGCTAACCACCGTTGTTACCTACGGGCTGTGAACACGCTGCAGTTTCCGTGAGTTTTTCTCCCCTTTCAGGCAGGCTTCTCACCCCCCGGACAGCTGGTTGTGCCCTCGCTGTCTGCCTCATCACCCAGCGGCAGCGTACCCGCTGTCAGAACCCTGCTCAGTCCACAGCTAAGCCCACAGCTAACGAGAGACTCAGCAGTAACATCACCCCTCTCCTTCCCCCCCGGCCTCGCTCAGCTGATCGGGGCCGGGACCCAGCGCGACACCTCCGGGAGACCTCGGCACGGGGCGGAGGCCGTTCTACCCCGCACGGACACCTCTGGGAGGAGAAGGTAGCCCCGATATTCACGCGTGTGCATGAGGGGAAGGCTCCGGCGGTCCCAGGGAGCACTTACTGAAGAAGATGTACTCAGTGTAGCTGCTCCAGATCTTGTCGTCCCGGTACTGGTTGATGAAGGCGGCCGTGCCGGTGGAGTTGCAAGCTACCATGTGGAAGCCTGCCTCGGAGAGCCGATCGAAGGCTTGCTCTAGGTAGGTGAACTTGAGGTAGAAGCGGGAAGTATACTTCTCGGGGGGGCGATCGGGGTCGCGGCTCTCGTTTAGGGTCTCGCCGAAGACCTCCTTAGCCAGAGCGATCCTGCCGCACACCATGATGCGGGCGACGCGGCGGAACTTGGCGTCCGCCTGGTTGTCCCGCACCGTGGTGTAGGAGCCGCGGTAGCCCACCGTGAGGAAGCCCGAGCGCTTGTCCAGTCCGGCCCGCTGCAGCCGGTCGCTGCTGCCCTGTGAGGTGCTGTCCTCCAGGTCGCTTTGGCAGCCCTCGTCGTTGAGCGAACTCTGCTTGGTGACCTTGGGCGACAGCAGCTTCACCAGGTCGCCCAGCTGGAAGTATTCTGCCTCCCGCAGGAGCCGCTCCTTCTCGGGGAAGTGTTCGGGCAGTGCCAGCTGCTTGTCCCGCAGGTAATCCAGCACGTACCTGAAGAGGAAGCCGTCGCGGTCGATGAAGAAACGCGCCCGGCTATCCCTGGGCAGCTGGCGGGCCGCCGCTGGGCCACCCCGGCACGGCGAGAACATGGTGGCCAGCATGCTGTCCGGGACGCTGAGCAGCGTGGAGTGCCTCGTCACGTACACCTGGCCCCCCACATTCAGTTCTACAACCTCGGGGAACGGCGAGCCCGACGGCCCCGACACCATGTCGCTGATGGGCAAGATGCTGCCGCCCGCCTCCTTCAAAGCCATGGCTGCGAGCGGGCGGCCGCGAAAGAGGGTCTCCCTCCTAAAAAAGGCAGCCTGAGGCCTCCCTCCCCTTCACCCACCCCACCCCTCTTCCTCCTCCTCCTCCTCCTCCTCCTTCTCCTTCCCCCCACCTCCCGCCGCGCCCGGAAGCGCCCGGACGGAGCTGCCGCTCCCGCCGCCCTCCGGCACCGCACCGCGGCTCCGAGGTGCGTGGCTCCGGTTCTCTTCTACCCGCGGAGCCCCTCACTGCCCCGCGGCAGGACGGGCCCTGCCCCGCGCTGCGCTCTGCCCGGTGGTAACGGGAGCCGCGGAGAACCGCGCTGCTCAGCGCCGAGCGGCCGCCGGAGTCGGCTGCCACTCGGCAGAGCGCTGCCGGGCGCTGCCCAGGAGAGAGCCAAGCCCCTACCCCGGCTCCTCCCCTTCGCCTCGGCTGGTGGCTTTTTCGGTTCGCTTTGGATGTTTTTTATTTATTTATTTTTCCCCACTTAAATTCCTCCCAGCCTCCCCCCTCTGCTTCCCTTATGCTGCTGCGCCGGTCGGTGCTTGTGGAGTTTTATCGCCGCAATGATGGACATATATCCAGAAGTAGCATCCCAAAGGGTGCATTGTAGCAACGTTTTTCACTGTGTGTCAGCACACCTTTACTGGGAGGAAAGGGGAAGAATTTAACTGGGAGCATCACAGGGGCTGTGCCAAAGTGTAGGTCTAACAGACCACACCGGGATGCAACACTGTGTTTGCTGTCCTGCTCCCCTGAGCACAGCACACACTGAGCTTTGTTCTCAGCACACTGTGGCAGGAGCTCAGTGAGCTCTCTGGCTTGACAATGGCATTGGGGTGATTTAGAGCAGAAAAGAAAGTCATCTGCCATTACGATCCAGGTGCCAAGCACAGATTTTGACTTGGAACACATCATTGCCTGATTGTTGGCTGTGTAACAGCTAAATTTCTGCTCTGTTTAAACAGTAGATTTTTATAATTTTTATTTATCTATTCCTAGCTGAAGCCACAGCTCACCTGCTTCCAGATTCCTGACGTGTGTGCTTTCAGATAGGGCTGATAGAACGCACCAAAGTGCCTGAGTATTGGAAGGCAGACGTGATTGCTCTTGCCAGTAAGAGTTGGGGCCTGAGACTGACAGGGATGTGCCAATGCCAGATCCAAGTGCAGTTCCACTCGGCTGGATAGTTTATGTATGGCAGCCCTCCAATTTTGTTGTTTATGGTTCCTTAAAATTTAAGGATTCAAGCATTAATCGTACCATATAGAAGTGAGAGCCCATCCTGTTCATCATTTAAATATGACTGCACATCAGGCCCAGGCATTAAAGACCTAAATTCTCAGGTAGATCGTTGTCATCTGTTACCTTCTCACTGGAAAGTGCTGGTGAAGATGAGGAAGTTTCCTCACCAATCACCTGAATCTTGGTTGTGTTCTCTAACTTATTTGTCCAGACTTTTAATATGCTAGCACAGATATCCCTATGGCACTCCATCCTATCTGTCACTGAATCATTGAGGAAAAGACCTCTAAGCTTAGCTGGTCCAACCATCAAACTGTCCCACCATGTCCACTGACCATGTCCCTCAGTGCCACATCTACACGTTTCTTGACCACCTCTATGGATGGTGACTCCACTCCTCTTTGGGCAGCCTGTGTCTCTGCCTCACCACTCTTCCCTAGGATCCCTCCTTCAAGGCAGGATCAATCAGTCCATGGTGCTGCCTTCTTCCTCCACATCGTCCAAATCAACTAGGTTATCCTTGTAAGAAACTCTTACAGATACAGGTATGTTTACTGCTGCTCAGTTCTGAAACGGAAATTAGGATATTAGGAGTTAATCCATTTACTTGGCTTGCAGCCCAGCCAGGTGTTGAACTGATGCACACGGAAAAGGTAACCTTGCATTTTAAAAATGTTTCTCTAATCTCTATGGTGAAATTCTATTTGGTTATAAACTGTTAACATTTAAAGTTTCTGAGAAAGTGAGGTGAAGGCCAGAGCTTCCTTCATGAGTGACTTGTCCCCAAGCAGTAATTGAGATTGGAACAAATATTTTAGAGATACATTTCAACCTTATTTTAAAACAAAAATAAAAACCTGTTACTATCCAAGGTTATTCCTGCTGTTGCAATCTAATATAGTTGAATAATAAAAAATGAAAGATTCATAAACTCTTTTGAAATTAAATTGCAAAATACATCATATTCCCCTAGTGAAAATGAACAACAAAGTAGAAAATAACATTTAGGAGAAGAATAAACAATGAGATTAGATGCTTAATCGGAGGTTCTTAGAGAGAGAATTATGAAAACTCTGTAAATCCAGTAACTGAATAAATTAAGCAATTTTTTTTAGCAAGATGAGTCTTCTGGCAGACTTCCAGCGCCGTCAAAAGGAATTGTTGCTCTGTCCTGAACTGTAGAATCAGACAAGAAGAGTAGTTTTTCATGCAGAAAAAAAAAAAATTAAAAAAAATCCAGATGATTTGATGATAATGAAAAAGCCTGTAATAATTACAGAAATCATCTGATAAGCATTTAAGATGATTATGTTGTCTTTCAAAAAGTCATCAGCCCCCCAAAATGGCATTAAAATTGTAGACAAGAGTGTGACAAACTGCCAGCAGAATCATATTTCTAACAGAACTGTACTCCAGCTCAATAAATCCTGAAAAATTTGGCCACTTGCATGGTTCTCTCCTCTTTTTGTTGTAATTTCTGTCATTGTTTTTTAGTTCTTAATATTTTCATATTAAGAACTTGTAGATCATTCTTGTTCTGTTTGATCTTGTTCCCTATTGGCAACAAAGCACCATTCCCAAGAAATGGCTTTTTCTTTTCATAATTTTTTTTTTCTAGACCCAAATTCATCTTTTTTAAACCTTAAAGGTACTTCTATGTAACACTGCAATTTTCCAAAATGATTAGAACTCTGTCCTGCAAGAGTTTAAAAATTATTTTATTTATGTGATTAATTCTCAGAGTTAAATGGAAGCACACGTATAAATCTGGTACTGTGGGAATTTGTACCTTCAGGACCTAAACAACATTGCAAGTGTACACAACATTTCATACATTTAAATTAGTATTATAGATTATTTATTTGCACTGTTGGGACTAAAACCAAGGAAAACTAATCTGCACGCTTGTTTCTGAGAACTTTCTTCTTTACAGTCTGTAGTAATTGATTGTTCTAATGTGAGTTGGATTTTGAAAAGTAGCTGGTGGTTATTAATGCTTCAAAGATTATGCATTCTCAGGGAAAAAAAAAAAAATTGCTGAGAAGCCTTTTCAGACACGTTAATCAAGAAGAATTTAGCAAGTTTTGCTTCTCAAGGACTGGAAGTTTCATTTACTGACAGCTAATGTTTTCTGAAAGTATTTATTCGTACAAAGGTTACCAGTGTTAAATGAGCTCCGCTGTGCTGTGGCTGAAGTGATTTGTTTGAATGATTCACTGCATCAACTGGACAAGCTTCACCTGATGAGCTCTTAGGATCCAGAGTCACTTGTGGGAGTTAGAAAAACCTTGGTCTTTTGTACTGTATCCATTTAAACTATTCCCATACTACGCCACAGTACAAAAGAGAAGAACACACACAAAAAGGATAAGCTCAGGAATTATAAATCTGTCCAAGTTCTTTATGATATTTCACTTATTTTTAGCCAAATATACATGAGAATAATTTATGGTGTTACTGGATTTGTTACATGAAAAATTCACTATTTATTTTCCTTCATTAAGGCTAAAGCAATATAGCAGTCTGAATTAGCATTCCCAGAGTACTTAGGCATTTAGTTCCTTCTCAGAACAGAAATGTACCTTCTTTGTGAATTTAAACTAACCTAAGTCTAACTAAATTCTGACTTCACTGTAGCAAGTTCTACATTTAGCATATTCTGCATATAAACACCCCTTAGCAAGAATGTGTTAGCTCGTTAATTAGGCTTAATAGCCTGAACAGTTATGCAAGTGTAACCTGAGTATAACAGTGATGTTTTTCTCACTTTTCTCAGTGTTGGCTATATTTAGCATTTGAATGTACTATTATTTTTCCATTTTCATTCACATATCTTTTTAAAAAACCCTCTTTAAAATGTTGATCAGTGTGAAGGGATTTTCATAAGAATCCTGCATCCTGACATTCCACTCAGCTTCTCATTTCTTTCTTATTCTCAAGCAGCAGTTTCCCAGAGCCTACTAACATCAAGAGCCTGACAGAACATACTTGTATCGGTACCACAGTGTTTCATTAGAGTGATGTTAGATTACTTCATTAATACCTGTGTCCTGAATATTAAACAAGTAATATGGTCGCTTAATATAGCAAGAGTTTTGATGCAACTATGCTTTTTGCTATCCAGGAACCTCTCTAGCTGCTACTTCTTTATGAACCTAAGTTGAAGCAAACCGAGAAGCACCAGAAACCCAGATAGCACGTGTATGTGGCGGTATGCCCTTGTGCTGGGACAGCTACAGCCTGACTGTAACTGTTTTGTCAATAAAAATTTTGATTTTTCTGTTTTTTGATAGATTCTATGGAATCATAGCTCCCTTTGGCTTCAGTTTGTGTCTGTGGTACTTGGGAGTTGATATAAGTAGGCACTTAATGTCTGAGTGGGTATATATCTGCAGTCTAGCACATGGAAATTAATGCAGTGGTGTTTATTTCAGGATCTCCCTACAGTGGTACAAATTATGGCTCCACTAAGCTCGGTATGGATTTTTTCTGTTTGCTGTAGGTTATCTAACATTGGAATGGATGATGATAACGATCTTTTCCTTCTTCATTAAGGGAGAAAATATCAAAGACATTATAAAACACAGTACTTGAACAATTCAAAATCATACTTGAGTCTTTACATACACAAACCCAATAATCATAACGTTTCTGGTAATATCACAATTTGTCATATTGTATATCAACTTTTCTGTTAGATGAGTGGAAAAGTAAGAGTAACTGCTGGGCATGGCTCTGATTCTGCAAAACACTTAAGGCCA